CATCAGACGTGGTCTGTAAATGCATTTCCTCACGTATCTGATCAACCCTTGGTTCCTCGGGGACCGGATGACCTTTTGTGACCTTTGACCCGATGACCTCTGACCTCCCGGTGACCCCTGACCTGCCGCCTACTTTCTGCCCTCCCTGGTGCCTCCACTTCTTCTGGAATCCTCAAGTTCTGTGATAACCCTTTGATCCCAGCTCTTTTTAAAAAAATTTTTTTTTATTTTATAAAATATACTTTTATTGATTTTAGAGAGGAAGGGAGAGAGATAGATAGAAACATCAATGATGAGAGAGAATCATTGATAGGCTGCCTCCTGCACGCCCCCTCCTGGGGATCAAGCCCACAACCCAGACATATGCCCTTGGCCAGAATCGAACCTGCGACCCTTTAGTCCGCAGGGCAACGCTCTATCCACTGAGCCAAACTGGCTAGGGCAACCCCAGCTCTTGAATACCTGTTAGTCTTCGGCCCTGGCCCTGACTCCCGCCCTCTGACCTCTTCCTGACCTCCTCACCCTCCTCCTCCCCGCTCCCCGCCCTGGCCGGAGGCTGCATCGCCGAAGTGACCGATGTCCCTGTCCCCAGGACGGCCTCCTCTCCTACTTCGGGACCCCCACGTGGCAGACCGTGACCATCTTCGTGGCCGGGGTGCTCACCGCCTCCCTCACCATCTGGAAGACGATGGGCTGAGGCCACCGGCTGCCTTGGACTGTGTCTTTTCTGCATAAATTATGGCATTTTTCTGGGAGGGGTGGGGACTGGGGGTCAGGGGCCTTTTTCTTACTTTTGTAATTATTGGGGGTTGGGTGGGGAGGGGTGGTTTCGGGGGGAGGGGCAATAAACCTCTTTCGGGCCACACTCCTGCGTCTGAGTCACTGGGCCCCGCCCTGGCTGTCGGCTGTCCCCGCTGTAGCAAGAGCCAGGCTCCCCGGCTGACACATCCTGCGGAGGGTGCCCAGTGCCCTCTGGGGGTTAGGGATGCCACAGGCCCCGGCCCTGCCCTCCAGGAACCTGCAGTCTTGAGGGGGAATGGAGGTGACTTCGGATCACTTGTGTCACAATGTAGGGTGTTGACCAAGACAGAGGAGCACAGGGCTGCAGGGGGTTGGGCGGGCGGAGGGCAGGGTGCAGGGGGCAGAGCAGGCCCCCCGCGCCCGGGAACCTCCACTATATGGCAAGTTGCACATTTACTGAGATGGAGGGGGCGGGGGGAGCGAGGTGGGGTGCTGATCGGACCTTGGGAAGACTCAGGGAGCAGGGGGAGCTACTGGAGGCAGGAAAGCTGAGAGGAGGCTAGGATAGGAGGGTCCTAGGGAGCAGACCAGGCCCAAACCTGTGTGGGGGCCACAGCTGGAGACGGGCTCCCCGGACGCTTTGGAGCGTCCCTGGGTGGGGCGTCCAGAGCGGAGCAGGCCCCGGGGGAGATGGGCTCCCTAAGGCCTAGTGCCCGTAGACACCGAGAGAACGGGGACGAGAGAGAGGGAGCCCGCTCGGTCACAGGGTCCCTTTTCGCCAGGCCCTGTCTCTTTCTAACTGTCCCCCTCTCTGTCCCCCTCTTTCTGTCTCTGTCCCCGTCTCTCTGGGTCTCTGTCCCTCGCTCTGTAGGCCTGTCTTCCTCCAAACTCCAGGAGCTCCAACCCCCAGATGTCTGTCTGTCCTCCCGACCATGTTGGTCTCACCCCTTCCTCTCCTACCTGAGGCTAAAGGTCTGTAGGCTGCAGCATGAACCTGGTCAATGTGTAACTCAGGCGTGGTGGCAGCGTGCCTGGGGCAGCTCCCCTCCCCTAGGGGCTGTTCCCAGAGTTTCCAAGCCAAGGGAGCTCTGTCCAGCAGATAAGATAGCAGAGCGGGGAGACCGAGTCACCGTCCAGAGAGGGGACGTATGGCCACGGGCAGCAGCCAGAAGGAAATAACGGGGGAACTAGAAAGGTAGTGAAGTCAGACAAAGCACGCTCCAGGCTGCACTTTGGGGGAGGGGGCCAGACTGGGGTCAGAGCCTCCAGGCCGGGTTCCCAGGGTCCCGGGAC